TCGCAAGATGGTGTAACTTCGACAGTATAACCATGATAAACCGGCGACACGAATCAAGTTTTATCTTACTTAAATGGGAATGAAGTTATCTATTAATTAATGGAAGAAAGAGAGAAAGCGAGAGAAAGAGAAATGCGTGAACGCCCAAATGTCCGATTGCATGCAACAACAGTCTTACGTTCTTTTATTCATACGAATGCAGTTTTCTTTCCTATACCACTGACTGAAGGAAGATACTTGTCTATTATTATGTTTATCAGATGAATAAAGAATAGCTAACTATTCGTTGTTGGTAAATTCTAGCATAAACAACTAGTATTCCAAGAACTCGTAGGAAAAAAAATTTTAAAGATAACTAATGTTATATCTCTGATAATAATGCGTAGACATAACAAATAACATACAGTTAAAATAGTAGAGGAGATAGATACGTTACTGGCAATGAGTCAATATCTCGACGGATGGATGGACGGACGGACGCGCACTTTCCTCTTCGCGGACATTTGATTACTCAACACGATCCTATCGGTGATAGCCGCCGGGTCTGTGGTGCTTTCGGCGATCTGTCGCCATGGCCATCTGCCAAGGATGGCCATCGACACGCAGATATCAAAAAGTATCCGTACTAGAACTCGAATCCTTTTTAAAAATAAATCTTTAGTGCATAGATTTTCATCGTTTACAATCAGAGTCAAAGTTATATCCCTGAATATATAAATTGTTCAAAGAATAATCACACTCGCGAACTTAAATTTTTATTAATAATTATCTATAATGTTGTTATTATGTTTAATTTCTCAATTTTATCGTAAAAATTATTTGTATAATATATCTAAAATTTCTATTTCTACTTGATTGTTGTTAGTATCAGATTATGAATGATATATGAATGATATTTCGATGAACCAAAGTATCGAGAGCTTTTTAGAAATCTCATCATATCTCGACAAAGTGTCGATAGCGACATCGCGTCGCGATTAGCGTTGATTAGCATCGCGAGAAGCTGGGCGAGATAGCGGTTCATGGGGGGGGGGGGGGGGGGGGGAGAAAAGTATCTCGCCCCTTACGCACTATAAAAGGACCCTCGTCCGCGCCGCCGCCCCTCTTCCGTCGTCGCTTTTCCTGCGCTCTGCTGCTGTTGCTGCGCCGGCTGTGTGCTGTTGCTAGTGCAGGCTGCCTGCCTTCGGCTACACGGCATTGCAAAATCGATAATCGCACCGTTGCTAATCCGATAGCTCGTTGCGAGAGAGCGGGGACGCTTATTACTTCGATACCGCTCTCCTAGCGGATACTTTGCCCCTGATATCGAACACCTTTGACATTGACAGCTTGTCTTTTTTATGGTGGATTTATTGGCGAGGCGTTGATAAACCTTCGAGTCTATCGAGTAGCGGATAGTACGTGTGGGTGTGTTAAAAAATATTGTCGATAGTTCTTTGGAGATGAGATTTTTGCATAATATAGAGAAACATGTGATAAAATTTTATATAAATATGAACGAGAAATTGTGACTTGTGTTCTCTCTTCATGCGGCAATAAAAAATCCAAAGGAGCAATTGAATGAGAGAAAGACGTCATTTTCTTAATGATCTCCCTATTTCGACCACGATAATATATTTTTGATAGTTAGTGCATTTTATATATAATATATTAGAATATTTAACATGAAGATTTATCTAAAAATTTGTATCATTTTACTTAAAATGTTAATTACTTTAAAATTAAAATAAGAACAAAGGAAAATAATTTAGTCATAAAAATCTTGACGTGCATCTTAATTGCTTCTTTGTAGACACTTTCGGAAACAACTAGAATCTCTAAATAGGCGATATTTGATACTCCGGTATGACATAATGTCGATACCTAACTGTATAAATTATCGCGTTGTCATCAGCGAAGTTTTCTCCATCGCTCTTTTAATCTCGTCGCGACGCCACTGCTTTCCTGATCGTCGACGAGATAATACTGTCGATTTCGGGTGACAACGGTGATGACATCGTTGACATTGCCGCGGCAGAATCGAGCTAGACGAGGAAAAAAACTTACTTGGTATATTTGTTTCTTCGTTATCACGCGGGAATATTTCGTTCTGCTCATATTTTAATGGTATTTCGCGATTATTAAAACATATTCTCTTGCAATTCTCGTTTTTCTGGTTCATCATCGCTCGTTCCTTTAATTCCGTACGCTGATGCAACATCCCGGAAAATACATAAATCTTGAAACTTAATCAGCGATCATTTCTCCTGGGGATCGTCATCGGAGATTTGCGAACAAAAAAAAAAAAAAAAAAATTGCGGAATACGTGTTTGCGACACGCATGTCTCTCTCCTCGTATATCTCATATTTCTATCTTTATCTCTTTCCTTATATATCTCTTATCTTTCCTCGTCTATGCTCATAAATGATTCAGTGATTCTTAAAAGAATATATCGCGAAAAATTGTTGATGTTACATTATTGTAAAAAAGTTTAGAAATTTTGATTTAATATAAAAATTTTAAATTTAACAAATTAAAGTTAAAAAAAAAAATATATATATATATAAGATGAATGAAAAACTTTTATTTAGCTTCGATCATTCAATATAATGTTCTTACATATGTACACAATATATCTCAAAACTGAATTTTTCTGTAACGAAAGATTTTTTTATCGAGTTTATCAATTTTCTTAAAAAATACTCCAAGAAAGTGCATCATATGCTTGTAATTTTTAATATGTAATATTAAATATCTTTGTTCCCAACTTTCGCGAATTAAACAATACGAAGAAATGATGTCCATTTAAAGTTAAATATATAATAAGACTATTTAATCACACACACTTCCCTCTTGTATTCGATGTCGTTATATTGCGACAAACATTATTATCGTAATAACTGTTATTCCGACGATCCACGAGGAACATCCGCGTACACAAAGATCTGCTAGACCGTTTCATTGAGCAGGCAGACATTGAATGAATGGATGAATGCCGCTGTACGAACGTCATATATACGATAAGTTGTAAAAATTTATGCATTTTTCGGCCGATAACATTCCTTGTCACGCGTGTGCGTTATCTCTTGCGAGAGGCACATTGAATATTCAAAGTTGCATCGCCATATCCCGTGCCAACCGCGTCGGTGTATTTTCATTTCATATATTTAGAAGCGATTTATTTTCCAACAGACAGCGGTAATGGTGCTAAGCAAACTTTTTTCTTATCCTGTATTGCAATGGGTAATGTTAAAGTCGCAATTTCTATCGGACGATATTTACATTGATTCGTATATTTGCATTGTTCGATTAATTAATTTTAATCAGTGAACTGCCTCTTTATAAATCATACTTCTCTCTCGCTCTCTTATCTATATGCGTCTTATAATCTGCAAGATAATATAGTACGATAGAGTTTAGAGATACACACACACACACACACACAAAGTAAATTTGTTTTTGTGAGTAAAAACTCAGATTCATACTTTCCTACCTTTGCCAGGAAATTGTCATGGCAACGAGTCACTGATTAAAACGTGCCGATAGAGCACTCGGTGCGTTTTAAGGCTTCCTTACATCGGCACACCGAAAACGAACACGACTCCCCAGATAGGAACGACCTTCGATGAGATCGGATTTCTGTGCACGGACTTTTGGCCGTTTCATTTTTCACATGTTCATGCTTTTTAACCTCCATTCTAGAAACCTCTCCCTTCTCCTAGTCTCCTTGTTGTATAAGATTACGCTGTTGTTCGCGAATGCTGGATAATCGGTCGCCTTGAGAAGAATAGGAGAGAGAGTTTGATTTTCGACGCGAATTCGTGAATCCGTCTGCATATGTAAAACGATGACGGATTTACGTCTTCCCAAGTCAGTTGAGTCAAGCCATACAGTTATGGATGTGTTTCTCTCATCTTATTCTTTTATTAATTTGTGCACGATAATTATATTGTTAATGCGTTTTTTTATTTAACTCTAATATAAATTTTTTTCTTACGGAATACTTGTCGAAGGGAATGGATATATAAAACCAATCTCTGGTGAAATTATTTATTTTCATCATACTCAATTGTTGCGCTCAAGTCTCTTTCGCCAAGCTTGTGTAAAATTCAATGATTCGAAGTTTTTCGCTTCTTCTCGCTCTTAGCGCCTTGATTAACACTATGTTTTCTGGAGAGGATTTCGAATGGTCGAAAAAAAGGAAAAAAAAAAGCACGAATCGCCGGGAATCCGAAGCCCGATGGAATTCCGAGACATTTCGCGATCGATCGACTGCGAAGGGGGTGTGTCGAACCCCCACTTGCCACCGCACCCCTCTTTTACGCGCTCTCTCGAGAATTACGTAAGCTGAGACGAGCCGAAACGGCGGGGCCGAGAGACTCGTAATTTCGCAACCGCCAGATATATTATACCCTGCGACTGGATGGTTGTCGATCGATTCGTGCCAGATTGTCGAAAATCATTCCGAGAAAAAATATATCATGCATTGGAAGATTTGCATGTGCATCACTGCATAGCACGTTTAACGCTAAATCTGGCTATCACAATGGGTTTTGCAAAGAATTGAATTGTTCACGCGATATAAAAATATAATATAGCTATATTTAATGTTAAAGATGTGCGATATAAATGCAAGTTGATGTTGTTAACGACAAAAATCGTCATATGATTGTAATTATTATTAATATCTTTTCGCATGTTTCTTTTATCTCGTGCATGGAATATTGTAGAATATCATTTTCAATTAATGCCATACACAAATATATTATTACCGAATGAATAAATTATTGTAAACTAATCGAGTCTATATTTCCATCTATATTCTTATCAACAATCTTTTTAAAACTCACGCGTTTTTATTATCTAGGAAAGTATGTGATAAAAACAAGTGTACTTTTTTAGATGTATCAACAAAACATGTGAATTTATTTTATGCAGCGAAAGAATAAGAATAGAGATATCGTCTCAACATAATATATACATATACTCTCTCCTCTTTCTTTTGTATCAAAATTAAATTTTTTTATATACTATATTTAAATATATAGATCTTAAAACTTCTTTCAATTAAAGCTATAAATTTATTTCTCAAGTTCGTATCAACACGTTGATATTTGTATTTTATTGTTGATGATACAGTTCGTCAAGCCTACTCTGCAATTGTCATTAACGTTTCATGTTATTATCGTGCATAGTGTGCGGCACCGAGAAGAGTCCCTGGCTCTGTCTGCACTGCGGGACCGTGCACTGCGGCCGATACGTGGCGGGCCATGCGTTGCAACACTACGAGACTAATACTCAACACTGCGTGTGCATAGACTGTGAGAGTCTGGCAGTATTCTGGTGAGTCCAGCCCGCCCTCCCTCTTCGCTTTCACCGCCCCCGCGTGTGCTACTGTCCGCGCGTACATCCCTTCCCCTCTTCCTCCTCCGTATACTTTGCATAAACCGGTATAATTTCGGAGAGTTGTAAATTCTCAATATGATGAGACACGCGAAAATGTGCCTTACATTGATATATGCTTTTATTATGTTACAAATAAATTGGTAAATTAATTAATTGTTGAAACGTAGATTTTTTTTTTTTTTTTTTTTATATGCCGCGTTACTGGAAGACCTCGCCGATGTTATATTGGTTTTTACCGGAAATGTGTTGCATTGTGTCTTGCTTCTTGCAGCTATACTTGTGACGAGTATGTGGTGAACGACACCTCGAGCGGGCAGATCGAAAAGATACGGCGCGTCACCTTCCGCAAGGACGAGCACAAAGAGAATGACGAAAGCTGGAGCACGTCACCGCCCGCGACGCCGCCGTCCTCGAGGGCGCGCGACAACGGTGGCGACCACGATAACGATCCGGACGCCCTATGGAAAGCGGAAGTGGTCGTGAGAAACCTGCGGCCGAGGACGGCCCGCAAGAGGCTACACTCGCTGGATGCCAGCAGCGCGGACAATCGGCCAGCCAAACGCCGTAGCTCCAAGAGTACCAAAGAGAAAAAGGTCGTCGGACTGAGGAATCTCGGTAACACCTGCTTCATGAATGTGGTGCTGCAGTCCTTCAACAACATTAGCCATTTCTGCGAGTATCTCACGCAAATGCCGTGTCTCGAGGGTATCGCGTTTGATGAGTCGACGGGGCCGCCTACGCATCGCGGTCGAATCGTGACGCCGGGTCGTGCCAAGGAGATGTCCATGAGCGACGCCTTACTTGCCGAGGAGCTCCGAAAGGTGCTGCTCGGATTAAGCCTGGGTGGCTCCAATGGCCAAGCTATATCGCCCGAGTGTCTGTTTCTGGCCATTTGGAAGGTCGTGCCGAGATTTCGGGGCTACCAGCAGCAGGACGCCCACGAGTTTCTCACTTACATGCTCGACCGACTCCATACCGAGCTGTTGCAGCTGCTGCCCAGGCTGGGACACGAGCCTCTAGGATTGCGCGGCAAGCAAAGCATCGTCACTGCCGTATTTGGAGGCACTCTTCTCAGCGTGGTAAGTTGACTCGACCTGACCCTAGACAAAGAGCCTCGATTGCGCGCGAAACGTGCCGTCCTTGCAGCCTATTTGGCAGGAAGGAATTTCTGCGCTTTCGAGAGACCGGTGTCGCTTGTCAAAGTCACGTTCTTCTTCGTTTTCTTCTTGGGAGAAGCGCGGACGAATTATGGATCGCGTTTCCTCGCGCAGGTTCACTGTATGAACTGTCGTACGGACTCGAAGACGCACGAGCCCTTCCAGGACCTCTCGCTGGACATCCCGGACAGGCTGCAGAGGAGTAGGACGAAGGAGCAGGAGGAAGTGTGCAGTCTGACTTACAGTTTGACGAAATTCTTCAAGGTGGAAGAGCTCGCCGACAGCGAGCTCTACTTCTGCGACAACTGCATGGGCAAGCAGAGATCTACCAAGAGGTTCTGGATACACAGGCTGCCTAATGTGAGTATGGCTCCCGTGTTTTTTGGAAAGAACTATATGCAATCCAGTAAGATGAAAATCTTATGAAAAAATATTATTTAAAATATTATTTTTTGAGAAATTTTAATTTAACATCAAAATTCAAAAATTATGTATTTATTTGAGTTAAAATTTTTCTATATTTATACATTTCTCTATATTTCTATATTCCTACATTATATTTTTTTACCATTTTCTCTGATATATCGATTTTTTGATGTTGTTCTAATTTCACTGCACGGCAATGCATTCGTAGACATGCGTGTCTCGATCGATTAGTTTGCACGAACAAGTATGACCCCAAAAGCAAACTTTGATCAAATAGAGAAATACACATCTGAGCGTAGGACGCAGTGATCGATGTTCATGCTATTTACGTTCGCTTTTTCCAGGTGTTGTGCCTTCACATTAAAAGATTTAGGTGGTGCAATTCCTATCGCTCGAAGGTGGACACGCAGGTGGATTTCCCGATGGAGTCTCTCGATATGTCTGCGTTTACCGTGCGCGGCGTGACCGGGACGAGATTGGGGGCTCAGAATAGTCATCTCTACGACTTGGCTGCCGTTATCGTGCACCATGGTTCTGGGTATGCTCTCCCTTAAATATACGCTTTTAATTAAAACGAATTATTTGACGAGAGAACATATGGCAAGTTTCCTCATAGTAGTTGCAACTATCGCGCGATATCGATATTTGATAAGATAACATAGTATTGTTTATACCTTCATAATTTATACTTGGAAATAATATCTGTAGCATTTCTCAATGATTCTGAATTGTATTGATATTTGCAAGCGAATTCTTAATTTTTTTAAAAGAATCGAGAAATTTTTGTAAGTGTATATTTAAGTTTATATTGCATTATTTTACCGATTGTTGCATCACACAATGATAAATTATAGATATTTTAATCTTTAGATACATATGTTCTATAGAAATTTACAAAGCTTTAAGGGGAAAAAAATGTTTGTTAAATATAATAATTCGCGGAGAATTTTATATTTATATTAAAACTATACGTGTTACAGTGCTGGGACTGGACATTACACTGCCTTCGCTGTACATGACGGTCAGTGGTTCCATTTTAACGACAGCTCTGTACGTCCAGCGACTACCGATGCTGTCGCTAAATGTAAGCCTTACATTCTGTTCTACGTGCGGAGAGAGTTCTCCATTCCACCCCCATTGTGACGTCGTTTCTCCGACAAGAAGCCCCGTCCTGGCAATGCGAGCCTCGACGACGATGACGATGATATGGATGTGAAACGAACGAAAGAGAACTGAGTGAACGTTTCTTGCGAGTCTCGCGCGAAGCGAACAACCAAGCGGAAAGAGCAAGAGATCACAAGACGGAGATTCGTCCGCTTATCGCATATATTAATGATTGCTCATCGTTGCCAAATCGTACAATCTCGTTAGAAATGTAATTCGTCTGCGTTCGTTATCGCGTTTCGACAAACGACGACCTTTGAGACGTGATTAGAAGAACCGGTCACAGATATAATTTGCCGCAGATATAATTACGTCGCACGTAAGTCGCTTGAGCGCGTTCCTCCTCGTGCTTTATCAGGCGTGATTAAGATAATTCGTGCAACTCTCGAATATCCATGAAAAAAAAATGTTATTATGCGTCGCGCCACAGATTATTCTCGCAATCTTTGCCATCATGTTTGTTCTTTTTGTCGAAAATATGGTCTTTCTATTCCATCGTTTTAGAGGAATAGAAGAAATTTTTTTTTTCGTTTAGAGACTACATTTTTTTGTTTCTTGATCATGATCATGATTGTAATATAAAATGTTTTTGTATCGAAGTTTCAATATGGAATTAGAAAAAGATCTTGTGCTCTTGCAAGCTTTATTTATTTTTAGCTAAAATGAATCGAAATGCTAATTTAGTTGACGCATTTGGATGAGTATTGAATCATACCAAGTTACTTGCTCGAAATTAAGATGCGGAGAAGACGAAAAGGCGAGAGAGCGTTACGATATATGATTGATGCCGGACACGCATGCGTATCGTGTCAATGTACGTAGCACGCATGCGGTCACATGTGTACGTGGAGGTGCGCGATTGTATGCGAAGCGTATGCTGGCGGGCGAAGCTTCTCTTCCTTTCTCGGCAATGGCAGAAAGAAGAAGAAGAAGAAGAGAGAAGGTAAGGTATAGATAGAGAGAAAAAGAAAGAAAAATAGATGACAGCGCTCGAGGTGGATCGCGGAAACGCATTGCCTTTAGCGTCGATTTTTTTACTTTACGCTCTTACGCGGCGGCGGCGGCCGTCGACCGCCCTTCCCCTTACCCCCTATCCTTGGTCGGATCGATTAAAGCCCTCCTCGATAGCGGAATAATCGCGTTCCTCGTGTGTAGTTCTAAAACGCGAAAACGACTGGTCTTCTCGGTAGATAGATCTTTTTCTAGGCTTAGCGCACGCGGCGGCATCGTTGTTTCGAGGGAGCTGATAAAGCAAATACCGTATAGGGCCAACACAGCGTTACTTCTCAAGCGACAGCCTCCTTTTATTCTCTTCTTCCCGTCCCAGATCCGTGTCTCATTCCTCTCCGTTCCTTCGTCGTACATGCGTCCCATGTATACTCACGCACGCACACACACGCGCAACGTATATGTGTTCATGCACGTACATACGCGCATGCATGAATGTCACGTTCCCTGCGATCCTTTATCCTTTTCCTTCCCCCTTCCTTGATTCCTCTTCCACTCACGAAAGGCTCTCGACGACTCTTATGTGATTATTTAAAGACTTATTTTTTCTATAATGATAACGATAATAATAATAAGTTAATGCGTAGCGAAAAAAACGTTTTATTAAGGCGATCAATTGCGATAACTGCGCATCTTCGGCAAAGACTTACTCTTCGTGTATGAATATGACGTACGGAAGTAAGCGTGCAGCAACAATATTATTGAGAACAAGTGAAATATGTACGAACGGCGAATAAATAAAGAAAACACATGAATCGACGATGCTTTTCGATTATGTGCCATCGAAGCTCTCTCCGATTATCAGTCCTCGTAATCATCCTAAATATTTTTAGAATTCTGTAAATTCCCTGTGCGCTCTTTATTCATTTGGAATATTATCCGTCCATTCTCCCTATTCGTCAGTCGCACACGTAGTGAGCAGATTTGAAGTGAAAAAGTACTTTTGTTAACTATTTCAAGAAAATTATACGTATTCGGCTAATTACACGCAAAATTGTTATAAATTGTTATAAAATCTAATTATATTTTAATTCCAACTAATGCTATATGTACAAAAATTAAAAGAAGTATTAAATTACTACATGTGAGAATCATAGTGGCGAGATTGTATCATCGAACGAATAAGAGTGCTTTCAAATATCGATAGCTGATACTTTATCTCAGTCGACAACAAAGTCGCGAGTATCGTTACCATGGTACGTGGTATCATTCCATGGTATCTGGTATACCTGGTGTCTTTTTCAAAAGTATCAGAGTAGTACAAACTTGTTTTCTTATTCATCGTCTGAGGAAAAGTATCAGTTGTCGATACCTCTAAATATTTCTACAATATTATAAAAATTCATTTCTTTCTTTTCCACAGCAGGAAACCAGATCTCTTCGTTTTCGAAGATGAAACTTGCTTTCTTATTGACGAGCGATACTTGGATGGCCTGATTATGTGACAAAGCCTCCAGCAGAAACAACCGGTCAGGTCTTCCTCTATCTCTTCAGGCATGACAATTGACGGAATCTTCTGGTCGATACTCTGTTTACTTTGCGCATCTGATGGTGCCATGTGATCGGAAATCATTACATCATATTGCTGTTTCGGAAAATAACTATGATCAATATTTGACTCTGATAATTTATCGGACTGGAGATCCTTCACGAGAAAAATCGAATATGGATCCTTCGGAGAATTTTCTTGTAAGTTGTTTGCTTCGTCCTTTCTTTGCGATGTATTACTATCTTTCTTAATGTCGAAAGAAGGATCCTTGATATCTTGAATCCATAAATCATCCCGATCGTATCGCCTGTAGGGATGTTTCTGAGCGATCGCTTGAAGGCTCTCCGTTTTTTTCAGGGTGTGTCCGGAAGGGATGAGCATGGACGAACATTTCTCTACACGATAATCAATTACAGGATTGCTCGAAGATTTGTCAAAATTCATTCTGTGAGCCTCCTGCGTCGACGAATCGTCTGAGCAACTGTTCGCTTTGGAATCCACTTGACAGGCGCGATTTTCGTAAATGATCTTGGCCGGTTCCGAAGTTTTATCATCATTCGATTGCTTCGGGGCTCTTCTTAGTTTCGAGAATATTCGCACAAACGTCTTCATTCGAGATTTCGAGGACGATTCAGCCTTCACATCCTTTTGTTCCTGCGCGACGCAGCACACGATATCCGCCATAGTATCCTCCAAACCCGAAGTAGCCAGTCTTGTTATACTGGGATGCATCTGCAATTGATGCACGGTTTTCTCCTCCAACTGATCGTTCGTTTCTTCCATAGAGTCAAGATTTTTATCGGGCAACAGATCGTTCGCATCTTGATGTTTAGTCGAAAGCGCTGCCGATGCTTCGGAAATCGTGAAAGGGAAACGTTCTTGGCTTTTCTTTTTCCTCTTCGACTCGCAGCTCAAGTTAAATGTCGATGAAGATATCCTAGACAGCTCCTGCTTCCTTCGTATCTGAAACGTCAGATTCTCGGATTGCGCGACTTTCGTGAGCTCTAAACTTGGATTGAAATTCAACTGGTCGCCGTTGAATTCATCGCCAGCTTGTTGCTTTCTAGCGCTTTTCTCGATTTCTGATGATGGATTCAACTTAAGATGTTGAATTGTAAACGGGGAGGTTGGATCGCACGTTCTCTCTATCGCTAATTTGAAATGTTCTTTTGTCTGCAAGTATAATTCCTTTTGCTTTTCGTCGTACGCGTTATAATAATCTTTATCTTTCACGTCTTCGGGATTTTCTTCGTCGTTAATGGACGTACAGTCGTCTTCCGTTCTCCAAGTGACATTCTCCTCTGCATTCCTCAATGACTCGACTCGAGGCGATTCATTCTTCTTGTTTTTAAACATACGTGGCGATTCGGTAGCGCTTGTGATGTCCACGGTGTCCGCGCTCTTCC